TGTGTTGCTAGCAGAAATGTATTCTGCATCAGTAGATGATAGACAAACTGCGCTTGTAATTTTCTTGGAAGACCATGTAACCACTCCACCAGCAAGTTTTATAATAAACCCACCAGTTGCATGTTTCAAATCATTCTTATTTCCATGAGATGCATCTGAGAATCCTTCAAGATATTTATTGGATCTTGTATTATAAGACAATCCTAGTTTTTTGGTTTTATATAAATATTGCATAACTCTGTAAGCACCTTTTAAATGCACCTCTCTAGGATCTTTGAGGAACCGTGATAGTAGTTGAACAGAGTGAGCTACATCAGGCCGTCCAACGTTGCTAACAAATAGCAACTGGCCTACAATACTTTGGTATTCAGTGATATTGGCAATTGCTGGAGATTCTGTGTCAAAGTAATTGGCTGTGTTAGATAATGGAAATTCCACATTTTTATTTAAGTCTATTTGACAGCTCTGAGCAGCTTTGGTAATATAGTCCTCCATTGAGATGGTTATATTGTTCAGGTTATCTTGGTAAACATTCATTCCCAAAAATTTAGAAACAGGGCCAAGATCTTTCATGGAATAAGCTTCGTTTAACCCTGCTTTCACAGAGTTCATAATATCTTTATTTGGAGCAGCAATTAAAAGGTCATCAACGTAAAGTGCAATCAATACTTTAAAGTTGTCTACATTTTTAAAATAAATACCATATTCTCCATCATGACGAGTAAATCCTCTCCTAGATAATGTTTTATGAATATGCGTGTTCCATAGTAGTGGGGCTTGCTTTAATCCGTACATACCCCCGTAAAGCTGCCACACGTGATTGGGATGCACAGGATCAACAAAACCTGGAGGTTGACGAACGTAAACCGGCTCTTCCATTTTGGAATTTAAGAAGGCAGTGTCTACATCCATTTGGTGAACACGGAGATTAAGGAGAGCAGAGATAGCAAGAAAGATACGGACAGAATCATACCGCACCACAGGAGCAAAGGTTTCTTGATAGTCGATGCCAGCTTTTTGAGTGTGTCCTTGAGCCACTAAACGAGCTTTAAACCGATTTCCGTCCTTAATGTTAAACACCCAACGAGACCCCAAGGCACGACGACCAGGAGGGAGAGGAGTCAACCTATATGTATCATGATCTTTAAAAGCTTGAAGTTCTTTCAGACAGGCTTGATACCATTTATCTTTATCTGATGAACTCATTGCCTGGTTGAATGTATTTGGGACAGAAGTAGTGGTAGACGTAAAGGACATGCCATGTACCAACGCAGTCAAGGCTATGTGATGTGAAGAGTTATCATCAGAGCCAGATGATTGAGAAGAAGGGAATACCGGTGTTCTAATGAGTTGGGTGAGACCATCCATGGAGTTCATAGGAACAAAACTGCCGGAGTCAATATTAACAGCCTCAACAGCAGGGGTACCAATTTTACCAGGACTAATTGGATTAGAATCCCACTTTGGATGGTGTTTCTCAATTTGATGATTTAAGTAGAATTCAGAAGCAGGAATAGGACCTAACTTGTTATGATTAACAATTGAGGATGTTTGGCCATTCAACTTGCTAACATGTGTGGTGATAGGGGCGGAAATATTGTCAGCTAATTCAATTTTACTATTTTTTAATGGTTTATGGGGATCTAAGTCTTCTAAGTTATAAACCGGTGAATTATCAGTTGATAAGGATTTGGATTGTAGATTAGGAGAAGATGTGTCGGAGTGGGTATCATCAATGGTAGATGTTAATTGTTGAGTAGTTACTGGAACAGCTGTTGGAGTAGTTGAAGAGTCAGTATCAGAGGATGAAGCAATTGATGATAGTTCTTCTGCTTCCTTCTTGTTTATTTGATTAGAATTATGTGAGGAGAATGAGGCGGTTGACTCATTGTTTATAGAGGATGAATCAAGGTTGTTGAAAGTAAAATTTTCACAGTCAGAAGTCGTAGAAATAGGAGAAGAAGAGAAGGAAGTAGATGGTAGTTCATATTCATCAGAGGAAGAGGAGTCATATTCGTGCTTATCATTGTCAGATGAATCAACTCGGAACATAAAAGAATCAGAATCAACAGATGATAGATACGGAGTGGAGTATCGACTAGTACCTTGATCTAGAACCTCATCACCATGTATGGTGGTTAATTCATTTTCTAAGTTGTTTTCATATATAGGATAATCAGTAGTTTCAGGATAATAATTTGACGTTTGTATTTCAGAAGATGAAGTTTTGAAAATATCAGTAGATGAAGGATAAACTGGGACACCACCTAAAGTACCAGTGGCAAATGTATGAGCCACTTCAACTTCTTTGGTACCTGCAAGTGGGAAATCAAGTTCATCAAAGCGAACTTGGTTTGATACAAAAATTTTCTTAGAAGGAGGATGATAGAGACGGTATGCTTTGTGTTTGGAGTCATATCCAACAAACACACATTTTACACTAGTAGGAGCAAATTTCCCGTCACGTAATTGATGAGGTAATGTAGCATATGCAGCACATCCAAATATACGTAGATGTGATAAATCTAGATTTTCTGTTTGAATATTGTTCCAGAGACAGTAAGGGATAGAATAATTTTTATTAGATACTGGTAACCTATTTAAGAGATATACAGCAGTACTTACAGCCTCTGTCCACATAGAAGGAGGTACCTTGCCTCCGATTAAAAGGCATCTTGTTTTTTCTTCAATCGAGCGATGAGATCTCTCAACTGCTCCATTTTGAAAACTATTGTATGGAACAGTTAATTGATGGGAAATTCCATTGCTTTTACAGAAATTATGAAATTTACTAGACATAAATTCACGTCCATTATCTGTGCGAATGGCACCCACCTTAAATCCCCCTCTTGACTTGAAATGATTCTCAGTTTCTAAGATCCATTCAATCAGCTTATCACATGCAGCTGATTTCGATGCTAAATGAATTACGGAATAATATCTTGAGTAGGCATCCCGGATAGTCAAAAAATATTTACTATCAGAAAAATTAGTATACCTAAATTGACCACAAATGTCAACTTGTAGCAGCTGTAAAGGGCTCGTATATTGTGTGTCAGAAATTTTTCCTTTTTTCATAACCCCTTTTGAAAGGGAACAAGTGGGACACAACGAGTGTTTATCAGCTTCCATAATGGGCAAGTCAATTCGATTTGCCAATCGATTATAATTAGCTAAACCTGGATGTCCTACTCTAGCATGCCATTTAATGGCATCTGGAATATTTGCCTTTGGAGATGGCAAAACAGAATGGTCATACGAAATAAAAGCATAATCAAGTGGTTTGTTCATCGTTTTTGTTTCTTTATTGTTGGGCATAAAAACATAAAGTTGATTTCTCATTTCACCAACTTGAGTAATTTTATTATTTTTAATTGTATATACCTTTGTTTTGTCAAATATAAATTTCATGTTTGATTTAGAAGAAGCCATTTTGACAGAAATCAAGTTTACGTTGCCATCAGGAACATATGCCACATTGTATAATGTGACATGTCCTAGTTGTACTGTACCAATACCTTTAATAGCAGTTTTACCTCCAATGCCTTCGATAACCCCAAACTCATTCTCATCTCCTTCAACTAACTCGCAAAACATTGAACGGTCGTGAGATATGTGCTGGGTACAACCAGTATCAAAATACCAATCGTTTCTCGATGTTGTATTTTGTTTGCTAATCAACGCAATCCAAGCCGTATGAGAATTATTAATCTTGTAATCTTTTTCATGATTTTTATTTCTTTTGTTCTTTAACCATTCTTGAAATTCTGGACACTCATTAGTTTTATGTTGTCCCCCGCATCTTTTACAATTGAAGTTTTTAACTTTTTGCTTGAATTGATTTCTTCTTCCAACAAAACTGGAGTTAGTTACTCCTCTTTTAGCATTACTAATTACATCATACACTTCTCTCAATTTAATTTCCTGATTCTTACCGAATATATCCATAAATCTTTGGTAAGACTCATCATATAAACTCATTAAAAATAATGAAGCAGCTCTTTCACGAGCTTTAATCTTGATGACTCTTAAAGCCTCTTGTTGCGCAGAAGTTAATGAATTTAAAAAATTTTCTTCACTAGATGTGGTTTCAAAAATGACCTCCACTAAACGATTAACAAGATCATACTGGTCGTCTAATGTTAAATTCCTAGCTTTAGCTAACTGAAAGAAAGGTTCTGCAGCTACATCAATAGATTCTGTACCAAAACACTCAGTTAAGTGATTTAGAAGACCTTTTCCAGTTGGGATACCGTAATCACCAGCAACATATCTATCTGCTTCTTTTTTAGCAGATCCTTCGACATTATTAACAATTAATAATTTTAATGCCGTTTCAAATAATTTTTTAATATAAGCAATCATATCATTAGATGGATTATATTGTTCAATAATAACATTTAGCTTTCCATTTTGTGCATATTGATACCAGTGTAAATTGATATCAGACATATGCATAGCTAAGATGTTTATCCATTTTTTAAAGTTCTTTTTCCCGTCCAATTTAATTGGAATACAACCTGCAGCTGTAGCTACAGGGCTCATAACCTGTTGACGCAAGGCTTCAGAATCAAAAATTCTAGTCGAGTTCATTTTAAACTAATATAATAAGATAATGTAACTTACAATAGGATATTGGTGGTATTATAAGTTCTATTATTATTTATAGTAGGAAGTTAGTGGTACTATAAATTGTTATTTTATTGCTTAGTCCTTTTCTTTCTATATAAGTAATATACAAGATACAATATTATACAGTATACTCATTTTATCTTTGAATCTTCTTTACTATAAATTTTCATAACTTTTAATCACTTAGTACGATGAATTTAGATTATCAAACATAGCTCTAATAATTATATTTCAACAGAACTTGTACTAATAATCAACAGGTGCTGTAATTTTTTATACTAACATCAGACAATCACCATAAGTGATATATTACAGCGTCTGTCAATTATTAGTACAAGTTCAAATGCCTCTCTAAAACAGTATCATAATTAGATCAAATGAATAAGAGCCATTAAAATAGCGCTGAATAGAACATCTGAGGTCAAACTAGCTGCCAAACCTTCATATTTTGCAACTGTAACACTTTCCGCAGAATTAGAAGAAGAAGTAGCAACACCTACAGATGGAACAACATTGGAATGGGCAGATTCTATGCTTACGTCTGAAGGTGCAGTAGCAGTAGCAGCAGAAGCTGTAACAGAACCTGTGTTAGCACTTTCTGGACATGAAGGAGTGTATGTAGTGATAACAACATCATCTGTAGTATAAACTGTACTAACTCTCAACACTGGTTCACTATGTAGGACAGTTTGACTGTTTTGGGAAGAAAATGAAGTGGTAGCGGTGGATAGTGAGCAAACTGGACATTCAGTGACATCTACCATGTGTGTGCTCTTAACAGTAGCGGTTGTGACGGAGTGAGCAACATTTGTTTTAGCGGATGCAGCTTCACCAGTAGCATGTGCATTACCATTGACACTAATAGCAGAACCATTACTGTTGCTTGGGGTAGATGTTGTTGCAGTAGTAGCTGATCTGTCAGTGGCATCCATAGCAGAACTATGACTGATTGAGGTAGATTTGGTAGAAGTAGTAGCTGATCTGTTAGTAGCATCGATAGTAGAACCATGACTGTTACTCGAGGTAGATTTGTTAGAAGTGGAGGTTGACTTGCCAGTAGTATTTATAGAAGAACCATTACTGTTGCTTGAAGTAGAGATCTTAGAAGTGGCAGTTGATCTGTCAGTAGCATCAATAGCAGAACCATTACTGTTGCTTGGGGTAGATGTTGTTGCAGTAGTAGCTGATCTGTCAGTGGCATCCATAGTAGAACCACGACTGATTGAGGTAGATTTGTCAGAAGTAGCAGTGGATCTGTCAGTAGTATTCATAGTAGAACTATGACTGATTGAGGTAGAAGTGATGGTTGATCTGTCAGTAACATCCATAGCAGAACTATGACTGATTGAGGTAGATTTGTTAGAAGTGGTGGTTGATCTGTCAGTAGCATCAATAGTAGAACCATAACTGATTGAGGTAGATTTCTTAGAAGTAGTGGTTGATCTGTTAGTAGCATCAATAGCAGAATTATGACTGATTGAGACAGATTTCTTAGAAGTAGTGGTAGATCTATTAGTAGCATTGATATTAGAACCATTACTTTTGCTTGAAGTAGATTTGTTAGAAGTGGAGGTTGATCTGTCAGTAGCATCAATGGCAGAATTATGACTGTTGCTTGAGGTAGATTTTTTAGAAGTGATGGTTGACCTGTCAGTAGTATTCATAGTAGAACTATGACTGATTGAGGTAGATTTCTTAGAAGTAGTGGTTGATCTGTTAGTAGCATCAATAGCAGAACCATAACTGATTGAGACAGATTTCTTAGAAGTAGTGGTAGATCTATTAGTAGCATTGATATTAGAACCATTACTTTTGCTTGAAGTAGATTTGTTAGAAGTGGAGGTTGATCTGTCAGTAGCATCAATGGCAGAATTATGACTGTTGCTTGAGGTAGATTTTTTAGAAGTGATGGTTGATCTGTCAGTAGTATTCATAGTAGAACTATGACTGATTGAGGTAGAAGTGATGGTTGATCTGTCAGTAACATCCATAGCAGAACCATTACTGTTACTTAAAGTAGATTTCTTGGAAGTGATGGTTGATCTGTCAGTAGTATTCATAGTAGAACTATGACTGATTGAGGTAGAAGTGATGGTTGATCTGTCAGTAACATCCATAGCAGAACCATTACTGTTACTTAAAGTAGATTTCTTGGAAGTGATGGTTGATCTGTCAGTGGTATTCATAGCAGAACTATGACTGATTGAGGTAGATTTGTTAGAAGTGGTGGTTGATCTGTCAGTAGTATTCATAGTAGAACTATGACTGTTTGAGGTAGATTTTTTAGAAGTGACAGTTGATTTGTCAGTAGCATTGATACTAGAACTACGACTGTTGCTTGAGGTAGATGTTGTTGCAGTGGCAATTGACTTGTCAGTAGCATCCATAGTAGAACTATGACTGTTTGAGGCAGATTTCTTAGAAGTGGCAGTTGACTTGTTGGTGGCATTGATACCAGAACCATGACTGTTGCTTGAGGTAGATTTCTTAGAAGTGGTGATTGATCTGTCAGTAGTATTCATAGTAGAACCATTACTCTTGCTCAAGGTAGATTTATTAGAGGTGATGGTTGATCTGCTAGTAGCATCAACAGCAGAACCATTACTGTTGCTTGGGGTAGTTGTTGTTGCAGTGATGGTTAATCTGTTAATAGCATCCATAGTAGAACTACGATTGTTGCTTGAAGTAGATTTCTTAGAAGTGATGGTTGATCTGTGAGTAGCATCCATAGTAGAACCATTACTGTTTGAAGTAGATATTGTTGCAGTGGTAGTTGATCTGTCAGTAGTATTTATAATAGAACTATGACTGTTGCTTGAAGTAGATATTGTTGCAGTGATGGTTGATCTGTGAGTAGCATCCATAGTAGAACTATGACTGTTTGAGGTAGATTTGTTAGAAGTGGTGGTCGATCTGTCAGTAGCATCAATAGCAGAATCATGACTGATTGAGGTAGATTTTTTAGAAGTAGTGGTTGATCTGTTAGTAGTATTCATAGCAGAAGCATGAATGTTGCTCGAGTTAGATTTGTTAGAAGTGGTGGTAGATTTATTAGTAGCATCAATAGCAGAACCACGACTGATTGGAGTAGATGTTGTTGCAGTGGTGGTTGATCTGTCAGTAGCATCAACGACAGAACTATGATTGTTGCTTGAGGTAGATTTGTTAGAGGTGATGGTTGACTTACCAGTAGCATCCATAGCAGAATTATGACTGTTGCTTGAGGTAGATTTTTTAGAAGTGACAGTTGATCTGTCAGTAGTATTCATAATAGAACCATGACTATTGCTAGAGGTAGACTTCTCAGAAATGGTTGATTTGTCAGTAGCATCCATAGCAGAACTATGACTGATTGAAGTAGATTTTTTAGAAGTGACAATTGATTTGTCAGTAGCATTGATACTAGAACTACGACTGTTGCTTGAGGTAGATGTTGTTGCAGTGGCAATTGACTTGTCAGTAGCATCCATAGCAGAACTATGACTGATTGAAGTAGATTTTTTAGAAATGATAGTTGATCTGTGAGTAGCATCAATAGCAGAACCATGAGTGTTGGTTGAAGTAGTTGTTGTTGCAGTGGAGGTTGATCTGTTAGTAGTATTCACAGCAGAAGCATGACTGTTGCTCGAGGTAGATGTTGTTGCAGTGGTAGTTGGACTGTCAGTGGCACTTAAATAAGTAAACTGGGCCGTTGATGGAAAGAAGTCTGACCAATCTCCAAAAGGTATTGTGTAAACAGGGTTAGGATTTGATGTCGGAGTTATAGTAATTTGAGCTACAGCATGTGTTTTTTCATATAGAGATATAGATGTCCAATTTACGGGGGCGGCTGTCCAGTGAGGTGTTGGGAACTGAAGAGTTGCATAAGCTGGTTTCAGAGGCATGACATTTTCATGGTATTTACCATAATCATTACCAAGAGGTATGAACTCACACTCAAAAAAATATCGACCAGGCAAACCATCAACACCGGGCCAATATTCTTGCGCACCACAACCAACCTCCGTGGTGGATTTCCAAACAAGCTGTGTAAAATGTCCATTATGTAAGTAAGGCAAAAGGTAAGGATCGCTGTAATTATAATCATTAATTTCATCAAACCAGGCGTCTACACCGCTGGTCAGAGGACCAGGTCCCACGTAAAAGTTTGAACCAATAAAGTAGCCGTAATCGGGAGCGTCTTGAAAAACAGGCGTCTTGACATTAAATTCGCAAGCCCACCACGCAGCCCGTTGGGCTAAAGTATCAGACCAGGTTAAATTAGGAGTGTCGACAAACATAGATCTGTACTTATTCATTAGGTCCAAAACAGCCGCCTTTTGTTCTGGAGTCAACATACAACGAGCATCCTTAGATGCATTATACGGATTATTCACAGGCCATCCGTCCACTGTGGCAATAGGACCCTTACCACCGTGAGTAGTCGGTCCAAGATAACTAGTAATATAAGATACTTGCGGTTGCGAATAACTAGGAATTGTTTCAGTATAAATAGAAATGTAATAAGATGTTTGTGCCTTCGATACAGCAGAAAAAGCAGCTAAAAGCAGTGCCGCGCACAATGATAAGGCACTTGAGACCATTATATTATTTTCAAATATTCGGAATTATTGACTTTTCAGTAAAATATATAGTTTGGTGAGTATACTTTATGGCGTTAGTTTTTTGGTTATTTGAGGTGATTCACTTAGTTCGGTTATACTGGTAGCATCTGGGAGTATAACGAGATGATGCTCATGCCTGCAAGAAGAGAAGCAAGAAACGAAAGAATATTCAGACATAATCCATAGTAGTTTTATATAAAAATGTGCTCATGACTTGCAATAAAAATGATTGTCTAATAGGTTCTAAATTTTTGACTGAACCAGAATAAAATATAAATAAAGTTTTGCAATAAATCTTCAATGATAAAAGTGTGTAAAGGAGTAGAAACAAAGAATGAAGAAAAAGATCTGTAATCTTCAACAATTGGACTAAAAATCTAAGTAAAGCACAAAAACACAGCATAGCTGATCATTTTATTATCTCTAATAGGAAAAATATCACTGTGTGGTAGTTTCTTTAAACAAAAAAGGAAACAGAAAATGTTGAGTTCTCGAAAACATTTCCAAATGGAGAATTAAAAATATTGTTTATTGTTTGGGCATTTTCACATTGCAGAACAATAGAATCAGTTTTGTCTAGATACTTTACTTTTGAAGAACATAAAAGGGAAAGTTTACAAATTTAAGAATGGACAAATAGTTTTTTTCCTTTTTGCTATTGTGTTGGAAACACTCGTCTTTGTATTTGATGCAACGACAAAAAGAATAAAAGTGAAGAAAAAAATTACACAAGTGGGAAAAGAGATAATACAGACAATTCTAACCACACTATAGATATACATGTCTCTTTGTATTCTATTTTTAAATTTTTGCCCCTGAATTATTTTAGAGAATCCCCACTCTTACAGGATCATCGCCCCTGATTAATTAGTTATTTGGCATTTATATCTCTTTTTTGTATATATCACAATATTCTATAGTAAATCGATCTATAGAATGTACAAAATTTATTACTTCATTCACAATAGAATATTAAAATTTTTGGCAGTGACCGTGGGATCGAATAGGAATGTATAATTTAAAAAAGGGGTAAAGAATTTTTATTGCATTGTTACTGTTTATACATAAGTTATATAAAGTTATATACTATAAGAACCATCAACAATTTTTTTTCTTTTTTTAGTTCGTATTGCAAGAATCAGCACCTTATATGACGTTAGCATGTAGTAATATTTTTTATAATATTCAACAAATGTAGTAAAATTGTTCTTTTGTTAACCAAGAATTTATTATTTAAAGTTATTATTGTTCTATTAGAACATCTATTATGATAAAGATCTAAAATATAATTATTCTCCTGGCAGATTTTGGTCTCAATTAGACTTTTTACTGTGATATTCCTATTCCTGATTTTTTCTCTTTTTTCCGATCTAGTATAAGAACAATATAATTTGTAAAATTCAAAATTCTCCATTTAAGTGGAGTGTTTTTTCTCCTTTTCGGATACACAATATGTAAGACATGCAAGAGTACTATTGAACTAGAAAAAATGACGTATACCTTGTGGAATCCTTAAAATCTTTTACAATGTCGTTTAATGATAGCTATTTGGTTTAATTTTAAGACAAACAAGAAAAAAAGATGATTATTATTATATTCGACCTATTGTTATGATGTTGTTTATTTATACTAGGTCAAAGGATGATAGGAAGTTTGTATCTTTTCAAAATAGCAAGACTTGATAACAGAGCATTTCTTTTTGTTTTTTGTTTGCCAATTGGTGGTTGAATGAAATGACTATAATAGATAGTATACAATGAACTATTTTTAAGCATGTTTTTTATTTTTAGATTATGGGATTTATTGTTGTCCAAAGCATCTTCTTGTAGTAGTATTTAGGAATATTTCTGTTAGTAACTGAAATGAGGTATTTTTATTCCTAAGTTTCGTAATATGTCTAAAAATGACAATTTAAAAACAACCCTAAAGTTCTATGGCTTTTGTAAAGAATTGACTTACAATTTAAAAAATAAAACCTAACACAAGTCCTTGGGACAAAAAATAACAACAATCACTCTAGGACGGTTGCTAACTAAAAAAAGAAATAAACTTTGTTGGTCATTTTGCTCGTGGAATTAAACAAAGTACATTCCAACAAATAAATGCTATAGATTAGATAAATACTGAAGAATAACCTTCTTAAAGAAGATAGTAACTTGTTTTTTCTACTTACTTACTATATTCATATTAAAACAGGAAAATATAATTAATTCATCTTGATATGGGTTCAAGCAGAAAATTAGTTTCTTTGTCGAGTTGCAAAACTATGTTCAAACCCTCGTTTGCTAGAAGAAGAGTTGAACAACCAAACTTGTTGTGGTTTTTTACCCTAAAAAAGTTAAACAATCAGATAAAAATTTGTCCAAATGTAGACAAAATTTAACCGGTTAGAAATTGGAATTAAGTATTTTTACTTTTGCCAAAAATTTTCTTTGCTTTTGTTACTACAGAATAATTGAAAAGTGAAATGAGGTTTCTGTGATAATTGGTCTGAATATGCGTTTACATGACAAGAGCATGTTTTTCTGTTTTACTGGAACGTACAAGCAAAAAAATTTTTTATGAAAAAAAGGAAAAATTTGAGTTAGCTAAATATAAACAATAATAGATGTGAAAAAATTTTCAAAGACGTTGTGTTTGTCTTTTTGTGTACATTTTTTGCCTGTTATAAAGCAAAAAAAAGCAAACCCACCGTTCCATGGTATTTTTTCTATCTTGCTTCTAAAAAGTCTTACAATATCTATAACACTATATTGTACCAGCTATATCGTGTAGACATGTTAGCTACATGAAGGGAATATTAACACAAATGTGTAGTTTTAATAATCAATTTTTTCTAATACTTCCAATTTTTTTTATTTTGATACAGCACCACCAATTTGAATTCACATTACAAATATAGATGGTACTTCTTTGGAGATATAAAAATTCTTCATTCTGTTTTTCAGAAAATTACAATAATGCCAAGTTGTGTTTTGGTTACTGAAAATTCGTCATGCAGATAGTGTTGATTAGTAAGAGTTGCTATTGTATCTTCATAATATTTGAATAGAACCGATATATGTATTAAACAAGGTTGTGCTAACATGAGGTGTTTTTGAAATTATAGGGGTGGGAGTTCTTTAAAATAATTCAGGGACAAAAATTTAAAAATAGAACACAAAAAGACATATATACCTATATCGTACTAACATGATAAAAATCGGGCATGAAATAATATTCTGGGTTTTTCTAGCTTTCATCTTTATTTAGAGGTAGGGTTTGTAGAAAACGGTTCGGCAACTTCATATCTCAAAAGTAGCAGATGTTGTCAAGATAACTTAATAATGGCCTGTCTTCTTTATCTACTTGCTTTTTCTGTAAGCCTAATTAAATTTTTTCATTCTTAAAATAAAAAGATAGAACAATATTTGTGCGCAGTCACAAGAGAATAGTTAACAGCAGAATTAACATTGTTTATCTTTATATATTCAATACTTCTTATGTAATTCCAACCGAGACGACGTACATAAGATTTAACAATGTTAATTTGATTTTTGGATTCATTGTAAAAAAAATGAACTTCAGATTTCAAAAAATATATATACATCATGTTCTAAACGACTATGTTTTGAGTTTTATATCATGTGCAATTTTTCAGCTGTTGTGTTCCTTGCATGGTATGAATCGCTTTACATACTTAACAATCAAGAAAAAAACAGATTAGTTTAAGATACTATTTATGGCGTTAGTTTTCTTTTTTTGCTTAGTTTTTCTTTATACTTGATATATAGAAATAGGATTAAGAACGAGGAATGTAAAAGACATATATTAAGAGGGTTGTGATGTTATATTATAAGCTTTAGTAAAAACAAGACCTAGGAAAAATAATGAATTACTAATCATTGTTGATACTGGTAAGACAGTTACAACTATGTTGTGATAGCTTTTAAGTGATCTCTTTATTAATGTCAATAACAGAAGGACCAAAGATTCTATTAAAATAATAATTTAAAGTTTTTAAAATCTTCAAATATGTAGTGAATAACAAATATAAAGCATTTTTTTTTTTTGTTGTTGTTTTTCTTTGTATATTTTGAATTGAAAGATGAAGGAATTCTTCTTATGGCTAATATTGTAAGTTTGTCTATTGGAGGATTTCCAGAGAGTGATAGTTATATCGGATTTTGTTAAGAGGCCTTTGATTATTAAGAGATATGTCAGGGGTACTCATCTTATTTAAATACATCTTAGTAAGAATATTAGGGGGCAACTTTAATATCATACAAAAAAAGAAGAAGGAATAATACAACATTAGGGTCATTAATTAGTAATATATAGAACTTGAGTAAGAGTGTTTATACTTATACTAATCAGTACAATTCATCCATTTACATATAACAACTCTTACAGAGTATTGGTGTGTGAGAATAGGAGAGTAGGGATGAGTATAGATGTTGTAAAAATAGGTAAATGAGGGAAGAGAAGTAGTAGAGTAGATGAGGAGATGTATGGAAATATAGGAAATATGATGAGAGAGAATGTAAATATTTATATTATGATGGGATATCTCCAGGGAAAAGATAGATTGGTACAGGGTGATAAGTAGTGAGGTAAGGAGGGTATGTAGGTGTTAGAACATAGATAAGTGATCTAAGAGGGAAAGTAAGAAATAAGCAGATGAAAGATTGGGAAGAAAAGGATAAGACAAAATGATGTGGAATGGAATAGAAAGAGAAATAAGAGGTCCCCCTATAA